GGCTGAAGAGAGGTTTCAAACAATCCAACCTTTAATAGAGCCATTACAAGAATTAAAAAAAAATCGCCAAAACAGAGAGGCCTCGAATGGAGATTCTCCCAATGACTCCATCTAGAATACCAATAATACCAAGATTGCAACCATTACAGCAATCCACCCCACAGAAATTAGATTTTAGTCTTTTAGCATCAGACTATTTAGGAAATTACCTCAGTAAAAGTAGTATGACAGACACTACATATGGTATTAGACGAGAAGCAAATAAATTTTTTATTGGAAATAAGGAAGTTGATATTGCCAATGATGATGTTACAATTGCAAATAAAACCTACAAGGGAACAAAAGGTTTGTGGCAATTGTTAACTTTAAAAGAACCTGAGGATTATACTCCGGCTGATTTGCAAAATTATAAAGAAATTTTGGAAGCTACAAATGGACATTTAAAGAGTTACAAAGATGGTGCACCAATTTCAAGTAATAGACATACTAAATATCTTAATATAATTAAACCTCTATTTAAGTCTGTTGGTGAAGGTTTGAGACAAGTGACTGGTAATAAAATAGACTATATTTATTGGGATGATAATAATGAGCTTGTAGATAGATTAAGACTTCTTTGGCTAAGTCGCCAAGCCGGTAACTCAGGAGTGGATAATGAAATAGATTCCATTATTGAGGAATTGAGAGAAAGTGGAATTATTTATTAAATAAAAATATGTTTATAGATCAATTTTATCGTTTATATAATCCATATAATAAGCCTGCAGAACCCAGGGCTAGTAGTGAACCTACTTTAAATTTACAAGACGATAGTTGGAATTGTTTAAACTGTAAAATTGGTAATGTTAAAGATGGGGAGTTTGTAGATGATGTATCAATTTTGGGGCAGACATTAACTAGAAAAGGTGATGTCTTTTTACAAGGTAAAACTAAATATGAGTTTTTAGAATCCAAGAATAAAAATTGGAATGCTAAAAAACAAAAAATTACTAAAAAATTATTGGAAAGGGGTGAAAGTTTAGATGATGTGCCCACTTTACAACAGACTTTAATACGTAAAGATGGTGGTACATTTGTACAAGACAATAATAATTATGAATTTTCAGAATCAGAAAATGGTGTTTGGAATGCTAAGAAACGGAAAATTACTAATGTAGAAAAGGGTGAAAGTTTAAATGATGTGCCCACTTTACAACAGACTTTAATACGAAAAAATATGGTAAATTTGTACAAGACGATAATAATTATGAATTTTTAGAATCAGAGAATGGTGTTTGGAATGCTAAGAAACAAAAACTTAGCAATTTGATGGAAGGTACAGATAGTAAAGATGCTGTGAATGTTTCACAAGTTCCAAAAATGGAAGTAGGCTAATGGAATTTTAATAATAAAAGGTTAGTACGTGTTAAACCTGCCATTGATGACACTGACTGTGTTACAAAAGAACAGACTATAACTTATAATAAAAAAACTACATTGTTGGGATGCCAAAAATCAATTCATAAGAAATCTACCAGAGGGGGAACATTCGGATGATATTTGTCTAATGTCACAATCTATGCATTATGATGGATCAAAATTTGTATATGGAGAAAAAAATTTTAATTTGATGGAATGATTTATTAGTTGCTGACCCCACATCTTTGAGTGGATTTAAGTATATAGATAATAGACCATATACAGTATACCAGAAAACTATGTATTTAAAAGATTGGAAGATAATCTATTGATTGGGGCTAATGGTGATGTATTTAGAGTTACAGGAAAGGATGATGTTATAAAAAATGAATAAAATTGCATACGAACTTCATAAGCCTGCAAGAAAGAATTTCATTAGAAGGTCTTTTAAAGTATTGGGTATAAACGAAACCATACAAATAGATTTAATTGATATGCAAAACTATGCTAGAGAAAATTCTGGCAAATAAATATATTTTAACTTTAATAGATACATTTTCTAAAAAAGCTTATGCTGCTCCACTAAAGAATAAGACAGGGTTAGTGGTTACAGAAGCCATTAAAACCATTCTACCAAAGGGGGTTAAAAACATTCAATCTGAAAATGGAAAAGAATTTTTTAATCAATATTTTAGCAAACTAATAAAAAAATTAAATATTAATCACTATCACACTTTTTCTACAACTAAGGCTGCAATTGTGGAGAGGTTTCAGAGATCTTTAAAGAATTGGCTATATAGGGAATTTAGTGCTCAGGGGAGTTATAAATGGTTGGATTTACTTCCAAAGTTAATTCGAAAATATAATAATAAGGTGCATAGATCTATAGGAATGAAGCCTAACCAAGTGAGTATTAAGAATAGTAAATATGTGCATGAGAGGTTGACTTCTAAAGTAATGCAAGTTAAAAAGCCAAGATATAAGGTAGGTGATAATGTGAGAATTTCCAAGTATAAACATGTTTTTAGTAAAGGTTATACTCCAAATTGGACAGGAGAAATATTTACAATAGCAGAAGTTAAGAATACAAAGCCTGTGACTTATATCTTGAAAGATGAAAATGGCAATATAATCAGGGGAGGCTTCTATACAGAGGAGTTGTTAAAGACCAAGTATAAAGACATGTATTTGGTAGAGAAGGTAATTAGGAGAAAGGGTGATTCATTGTATGTCAAATGGCTTGGGTTCCCAAGTAGCCAGAACTCATGGATTTCCACTAAGGATGTCCAAGGGAGCGCGTCATAAGCCGGGAGCATGCCCGAGTTCGCGCACTAACCTCACATGATTTTGAAAATATACATGGGAATGGATGTGGATTTGAAATTTTAATGGAGTTTGAACATTTGTATGGGCTTGTATTGGACGAGAGCTAAATATAGCCGGTCTTTAAAAAAGTGGCTAAAAAAGCTCACCATTTCCAGACATGATTATTAGTATTAAAAAAGTAGAAAATTTATATAGGGGTGTATAGGTCGAGAGCTGGGTCTTAAAAAAAGTGGCCAAAAAAATGAGCCACTAATTTTTCTCATTTTTCTCCTATAAAAAGTGCCCTAAAAGTGCCTCTAAAACGCCGAAAGTGAGGTCATATTCTGGTATTATATCTACTTGCAGGGGGGCCTTGATTTTGTACATGTTTTTTAGTTTTCTATTAAATGTCCTTTTCTGGTTGTGCAATCGTAATTTGGTACTAATTATGGTAATTTAATAAATTGAGCTCCTGTATGTTTTATTGACTATTCTATAAGTAGCAACTCAGTGGCGGTGACTCAGATTGAAATGTTAGTCTTTGAGTCGAACATGGCTGGTTCGAGCTCTGTCCCTTTGCGCATGAGATTACCGTCATCATAAAAAGAAATAGTAGTGCTGTCTTCAGGGAAACTCGTTTAAACTTCAAAGAATATATGGGAATAAGCTATTATTACCGTAGTACTATTATTATCGTATTATTATCGTACTATTATTACCGTAACCTAAGTACTCATGGTAAGACCTGGACCCGGAACCGATTTATTTTTTTGTTTTGTGGTCCCGAGAGGCCGAAAACACCATCCGTTCAAATTCATATATATATATATGTGTGTGTGTGTGTGTGTGTGTGTCCGTTAGCATGTGACTCGAACAAATTGACTTGATCCACCAATGAGGCAAATGGAAATTCTCTTAGTCTGCTAGCACTTAGTCCGTGGCGGGGGTATTAAAATAATTGCCTCATTCATCGTATATAAAATTCTGTGTCGTCTACTATCTCTCCGTAAAACATTTTTCAAACACGAGTATTATGATATATTTTTAGTTTCTTAGTGCTCATCAGAAAAGAACTGAACTCTCCTTTTAGCGAATTTTCCATATAGGGAATAAGCTACTACCGTAGTACTCATGGTAATACCTGCACTCGAGACCAATTTACTTTTTCGTTTTGAGGTCCCTAAAGGGCAAAAACACCATCCGTTCAAATTCATATACAGTATATATATGTGTGTCCGTTAGCACGATAACTCGAGCAAAATTATCCGATTTTGATAAAATTTGGTACAAACGTGTAAACCTACAATTATTCGAACGAATTCGCAAACCAGCATGATCGGACTATGGGAACGGGGGTGTTTGGGGATTTTTTTACAAACTAATTGCGGTTGGTTTTGATTATTTCTAGTTTGTTGTCTTGTGGTTACAGTTCGTTTTAGTGTCTGTACAATATTGATTTATTATAGTCTTATTTTTGCTAAGCAATTTATATTATACATGTTTATCGCTGTGCTTGTGAATCTGGTAGCTCTTATTTGGATTGTTGCTTGTATTATTACTGTTTTTTTTTTGTTTTTTTAGGGAGAGGTGGGAAAATGCATTTATGCACACAGGTTGCTAGCCTGTAGTGTGGGACTCCAACGGGCTTAAGGCCCAGAGACTACCCACTAAAAACCTCCTCTGTATAGAGATTAGATTAATTAAAACAATGGCTGTAGTTGTGTCAAAAATCTATTCGTGTAGCTGATATATTGTTTATAGTTGGGGAGACCTGTGATTATGTTTTTTAAAATTTGTATTGAATGGTATTTTCTGGTTGTGCATTATTAATCATAATTAATATTACAAATGTGTATGTTTGTTTGTTTTTTGATTGTTTGAAGTTCGATCACGCAATAACTACTGGTCAGTTCGAGCTGAAAGTTTGGAGGAAGATAGTTTACGTTCCCGATTAACATATAGTTATACTCTTATCTCAAAGATAATTGAACTAACAGTAGTCTTAGATAGCTAAATTACTGTAATAAAAATCTCCGTGTAAAAGATTTTTGAAATATAAATAGTACATTTTTAGTTTCATCAGTACAACGGTATTGAACTGAACTTCCATTTGTATGATATATAGAGTGCGCTATAACGTGAAATAAACCAGTCGGGGATTGATAGGTTTGCCTTACATGCGATATGAATAACGTAAGGCCCAAGATCTGTGGTCAATCTATAAAGTGTGTTATATTAGTTTAAACAAAAATATTTACCTGATGAAAATCCCCTAATGACAATTTCTCGTTTTTCAGTGCTCACCGGGGCGGCCGTTTCAGGTTTGGATTGTCCCTTTCTCACTAAAGTGGTCACGCCACAATACGTCACGAACGTAGGAAATGCGGGGAATCAATGCCTCGAATGCCAGGGCCGCTTGCTTTCCTATACCAAAAGGATCTGCAATGAGGGCTTGGAGTGTGTCAAACAATTCCGTATTTATCCATATTACTTCTGTGAACCTAAGAAACGTTACTAAACGTGGTCAAGAGAAACTGGTGATGGTCAGTAGACCATTTTTACAGAAAAATGATAATTGCAAGAAAGTAAAACATATTTGAGTTTTTAACTGATCAGATCAAGCATTTTTATTTAATTTTACACCTTCTTTTTGTTATTGAGAACATCTCAACTGTTGTCTTAGACTCAATTATGACGTGTTTGAAATACAGTGAAGAAACCACGAATACTAGAAAAATACCGGTATGGATCATTTACATAAACAAATGACGTTGTTAACTGTCATTGAAATGTTTATGTTACGAGTGGTTTGTTAACAAAAATATTGTTCGTTGGTGTTTGCCTCCATACTATTTCACTTTAAAATGTAGATAGTTTGGTGGTTTTCCCCTACCGTGAAGGATCTGCGTTATCAGGAAATGTGTTATTTTGAACTAAACATCTCAAACACTTGCGTTTACTCAAGTTTTGTCGTAAATGCAATCTGTGTAAGTATTTAGTTTATGCAATGCAAATTTCAACTCATATTTGGTCTCTATAAAACTGTCAAATAAACTGCAGGGTGCAGCAGAAACCAAAGTCGACTCATACCATACCAACTATCCCCGTAGTACTGATGATTCAGAAACTTGGTCACTGACCAAAGAACCGAAAACCTTAATGCTGGGTTAGATAATAAAGTGCAGGGAAAATATACAGACCAGTTCCGGAGGTCGAAATAAAAAAGAATAGAGAGCTAAGAGAAATATGTTAACACCCAAACATAGGGATGCTTTCCAGAAGTAGGTAAAGCTTGGATGGACAGGCTGTGCATAAACTTTAAAAAATATATTCCAAGGAGTACCACACGATAGACGGGAAATATCAAGTTATGAAATTCATCCTCAGACTGGGATCTAAATTTTGAAGAGGCAGGTGATAGAAGAGAATCCTCATAACAGCTTCAGTGGTCACGGAGGTAAGATAAGGTAGAGTACAAAAGTAGCACAGTATGTAATTGGAGGTGGCATATAGCTACTCTACTCAAAACCAGTGTGAATCGGTCGCCAATCTCACTTCAAGATTTTTCAAATCGACTAAATAACTGATTTCAACCGATGACTGACTGATTTTGGTCTGCTAATTTAATGTATGAGGCTTAAATGAGTTTACGTTTGAAATATGCCAACCAAGAATGGGGAACAATATCTCGAAACCATGCCGTTCAGAAACACAATAAATATGACAAAGCAGCCGAAGACATCAGAGGAAGCTTCACACCATTAATATGTTCCACGGAAGGAGTCCCCCACAAAGAATATGAAGCGTTTCAGAGGAGAACAAGCGAAGCCCTGGCTGTAAAATGGAGAAAACCATACTCCCAAATTATCGGATGGTTGAGGATCCAAAGCCAGCTTTCCATCATTCGAGCAGTTTCGCTAAGGCTACGGGGAACTAGACGAAAAATTCGAAGCATTCAATTTGAAGATGGTGCCGCAATTCCCCCATTACTCTATTGAGCTTTCATTTTATTTTTTTAAACATTTATATTTGATTGAAAATCATAGTCATATGTTGAATTGTTTGAAATGTATAAATAAAGTTTTATTGTATTCTGTGTTTACGTTTGAAAAAATTAGGTTCCTTATGGACAATTTTTGCTTCTTCAAAATTCATACGATGATTTTCGGACCAGCAATGTTGAGCGATCTTAGATTTTTCCACTAAACCTTTTTTTGTGTTTTCTCTATGTTCTTTGATTCTAATGTTCAACGGTCTTTTTGTCTCGCCATAGTAAGGCCTGGAACAATCATTGCAATTTATTCTGTAAACACAGTTTTTAGTATCCTGAGTGTCATTTTTGGGTTTTGTTTTGACGAGACTCTGCCTAAGTGTGTTTTTGTCCTAAACGCAGTTTGCACATTAAATTTCCTAGCAACCCTTCTGATTTTTTCCGACAGCCCTGACACATACGGGATTGACATGTGGACAAGCTTTTCCTTGCGATTTTGTAAAGGTTCACGCGTAGCCCTATCTTTCTTGCATTTGTTTATAATGGATCGAGGGTATCCGTTACTAGCCAAATCCTGTTCTACTTTCTTTATTTCATCCTTTAACTCGATTGGAGCAAATGCTCTTAGCCCTGTCAAACAGAGAGTAAGCAACCCCCTCCTTGACAGAAATTTGGTGGTTTGATTGAAAGTTTAAATACTGCCCTGTGTGTGTGTCTTCTTTCTATGAACTGTTTTCTTCCTATAAAGACTGTTCAAATGTTTTTCTACGCACACATCCAAAAAGGGGAGTTTGTTTTGTGATTCCACCTCCATGGTTAGTTTTATGGAAGATGAAACGCTATTAAGGTGCTCTAAAAACTCATCCAATTTATCATCTCCATGAGGGAAACCCACGAAAGTGTCATCGACATATCTCCACCATATCTTCGTTTTGAGCCGAGCTGAAACCAATGCTTTTTGCTCAAACTCCTCCATAAAGATGTTGGCAAAGATAGGTGACAATGGTGACCCCATGGCCTCATCTTGACGGTATAATTTACCCTCTAATTTGAAATAGTTACACTGAGTACATAACTCCAAAAGTTCCATTATGACGTTAACAGGGAGTTTAGTTCTGTTTTCTAAATTATCGTCGTTTGTGAGAGGAGTCTCAATTATTTTTAGGGTTTCCGAAACGGGCACATTCGTAAACAGACTTTCAACATCGAAGCTGACCAGCTTGTCAGTATCAGCCAGTACGATAGATTTAGACTTTTCTACAAAATCCTTAGAGTTTTTGATAAACGAATCAGTGTTTCCTACTAAAGGCTTTAAAATCAAAATGTCCAGAAGGACTTTAGACAATTCCCTACAAGCAGAATCACGGGAGCTAACTATCAGTCTCAGTGGAACGGTAGGTTTATGGATCTTAGGTAACCCGTACATGTGTGGAATTTTGGAATGGTGTGGTGTTAACCGAGTCCTTGGTTTGTCGCTAAAAAACATTTGTGTTTTCTTAGAGTACTAGGGATTTTACGCTTAATGAAAATAATACAATTTGTAAACTATTCAGAAAAATAAAGCACTGTTATCTATCTATATATCTATCTAACAAAAAACCACTAAGTGGTAACACTTTCCCCGCCAAGTCAGCAATCCAATAAAGATAATAAATCATTACTTTTTCCGCCAAGAAAAACAATGTAATGTATGTAAGTTTGGCAACTTGGCGGCAGACTTTTGTTTGGTTTTTTTCATTAAAGTTACGATCGTGGATAATTTCACAAATCAACTTCTCTAATTAATTAGCCCAACTAAGTATAATAATTTCGAGGTAATCAGTTAATATAAAACCATCACTATTATGATTTTATGAAATGTGGCACAAATAAGGTAAAATTTTGTAAAATAAGCTCTCACCTAGCAATGTACTAATGGGAGAGATACTTGCTCAATGAAACTAGTTTTATGGTACTATATTTTTTAAAGTGATCGAGCAAAAGTCTGCCGCCAAGTTGCCAAACTTACATACATTACATTGTTTTTCTTGGCGGAAAAAGTAATGATTTATTATCTTTTTTGGATTGCTGACTTGGCGGGCAAAGTGTTACCACTTAGTGGTTTTTCGTTAGATTTTATTAATTTTTTTAGAAAATTAACCGTTAAAATGAAAATCCTCTTTTCTCTGATATATAGACCATGGCACAACTATATAGCCTACATCTCATTTAATTTCAATAATATTGTTTGTGTAGAACTAAATTCTACATTTTTGGTCTTATCTGCTTTAAACCGATTAAAAACTTTTTGGCACACGTACCAAAATTACTATTTAACAAACCCCCTGGGCTTAAGGGTTTGTTAAATAGTAATTTTGGTACGTGTGTCAAAAAGTTCATCAATGGTCATCTTGAACAACATAAAATGCGTTGGTGTTACATAAGTGTTCTGATAATTAAACCCGTATATCTAAAGACTAGGGTAATTTGAGCCCTTATTAGAGAAGTAAAAATGTAATCAAACAGATTAGGTTTGTTAGAAATAGCATAAGGCAAAACAAATATTGAAAAACTCATTTATCCTAAATTTACATATCACTTTTCAATTGCTTGTTTAACATACGTAGAGTGATTTTCCCGATTGTTTTATTTGTTTTAGTGTATGAAAACATAAAATAAACCTTAGTACTAGTTTCAAGTTCCTAGGTTTCATATGTTTTGATTAGTAGTATTAAACCGTTAAAAACGACGAGCTGCTGTACCAGTGTACCATCGGTACACTGCATTTTTCAATGGAAAGTATCGGGGAATATCACTGCTCTAAGTAATTTTATATAGTAAGTAGTTCAAATCATTCGGTATACCTGAAAAAAATACTTTATAAAAGTTTTAAAATAATTTGTCAGCTGTTCCTATGAATTTCTCTAACATTTAAATTAATTGAGATTCATTCGCAGCTGGTCCTTCTTTTGTTTTGATTTTAATCCCATGTTATTTAAATGGGCCAAAATCGTACTTTGAGGGCTTGCCAAGGGTCAATGCACCGACTTGAGACCCTCAAAAGGCACACTACACGTTAAGGGCTTTCAAACAACATAAAGAACATTAAAATTGAGCCAGTGATTTTAGTGCAGTAGAAATAATCGAAAATATAGCTTAAGGTGGAACTAATTGCAACACAAATGATTCTTGCTGTGAATGGTAGGTAGTATGCTTCTAATCAACATACTAAAAATATACATCCGTACTGTGGCGCAAAATACGTTTTTTGGCCGCCATCTTGAAAAAAGTGTCAAAATTTTAATATTCGTAAAAATAACTTTTTGGGTATCAAATTATAGGAAATTTAATGCTGAAAAATGTTATAATAGTGGTTATAAGCACTATTTAGAAATACGATCGTAGTACAAAACACCCCCGCCGCAGCAAACCTGCAGACTAAACGAATTTCCATTTGTCTTAATTGATTTTCAATTAAATCTGGTAATTCAGTTTTAAAAATCTTTGTACAACTAAATCTAGAGTTCTACTGGACCGATTCTATAACCTAATGGGTCATTGGAAAGGAATTAGTGTAGATTTTCAAATAATTATTTAAGTTTGATTTTTTAAGATTTGCTAGGTGAAACCCGTCAACGTCGACAA